GTACGGGGCGATTCCTTGGACGCTCGTCGAGGCTGGCATCCGCGCCGTGTGGGCGACGGAGCATCCCCCTTCTCGACCTACATCTCATCGACCAGTGAACAACGTGGGCGGCGTCGACGAGGGCGCCAACGCCGCGGGTGGCCAAGTCGGTAGCAGCGCGGGAGGCACGTCGAGGCAGCGAGGTGTGATTCACGCCGATGAAGTCGGCGGCGTTCAAGCGCGAGGGATGCAGACATCCGCGGCTGCAGGGGCCCCGCGGGGCTACGTCGGAGGCAGACGAAGTGAATTGGCGCCGATGTCGGCGACGCACGTGACCGCGAGAGGAATTGCGCCGCGCTACGGCTACTTCAAGTTTACGCCGGACAGGATCTCGGTCACCCCTCTGCTGGTCGGTCGTCCCGACATCCTCACGTGGAAGGAAGCCATCGAGCCCCAGCTGGAGATGGCCGGGCTGATGGGCTTCGCCCGCGGGACCGTGGCAATGCCGGAGGAGCACTACCCTGACCTGCGAGCAGAATTTCGTGCCGTGCAGTTGCTGACCTTCACGGTCATCTCGCGGTGCTGTCCCCGGGCGTACAGATCGCCCTCAAGTCGTGCAGGGAGTACCTCGATGCTGGCCACCGGGCGTGGCATTTCATCGAGTCAACTTACCAGGTCACCGACGACTTGTTCATCGCCCAGCTTGAGGGACAGTTGACGCACCTGCGTATGGGCGACGAGGAGACGGCGACCGACTACTGCAACCGAGCTCGGCGAATTCTCGCCACCATTCGGATGGCTGGCGTGGAGTACTTAACGGCGTCGTACGTCACACACGTCATGCAGGGACTCCCGAGCAGCTACAACCTGCTGAAGCGGCTGTCGATGGCGCCGAGCACGCGGGCGATGCTCAATGAGGACACATTGATCTCGTACATCCTACAAGACGAGGCGATGCAGGAGGTTGAGCGGTCCCAGGAGCTCCTCGCGCAAGTGAACTACGTCGCCCCCGCGAAGCAAGGTGGTCGACCGGGACAAGGCGGGCAGTCTGGTGGCACTCACCGCGGTGGCGGGAAGCCGGCGAAGGATGCCGACAAGCAGAAGTCGGCTAAGGAGAGCGGTCGTGGAGGAGGAGGTTGACGTCGGGAATGCTGGCTGTGCGGCGACCCCGATCACCTCTCCTTCGAGTGCCCCGACCGCAGTGACTCGGACGACGACGACAAAACCAAGGGAGGCCACGGGAGGTCTGGCAGCCGTAATCCGCGTCGAGGAAACCAGCCGCGAAAGGAGAAGCAGTCGAAGAAGTCGACCTCGGCGAAGGACGCCGACTCCTCCGTGGGTGGCAAAGGGCGAGGCGACAAGGAGGCGTCGTGCTCGCTGGTCGGTGTCGTGGAATCGACCGTCTCACTGGCGCCGGAGGCTGGTGAGGATTTCCAGGCGATGGCGGCAGCTGTGCAAGCGAACCCCGCGGTGGTCCTGCTCGACAGCGGCTGCTCGCACCACCTGATGGGGACGAAGGCGGCCTTCGTCGACTTGGGGCCATGCGGCAACGTGAAGCACGTGCGTGGCTTCAATGGGGCGCTGCAGGACGTTCGCGGCCGTGGCACGGTTGCACTGCAAGGGGAGGCCGGGAAGCGGGTGCTCATCCCCGACGTGCTGTACGTCCCAGGCGTGCAGGCGAATCTGCTTTCGGCTGGCCAGCTGAAGGAGAGCGGGGTGACGCTGAAGGACGACGGCAACAGGATGTTGCTCGTTTTCGCGGCGGGGGACGTGCTCGGTCGAGCGACGTACACCGGCCGGGTCCTCTGCACCGACCTGCGCCCATGCGCGGTAAAGTCGACGACGCCCGCAAAAGAGGAGGTGGCTCTGCGGGCGATCGTCTCGGCGACGAAGTCGACGCCGAACAGGCTGCACGCGCGGCTTGCACATGTCAGCATGAACACCATCCGGAGCTCGGCGAAACACGAGGTTGCCACCGGGCTGGACCTCAAGTCGGTGTCTGGCGCCGACTCACCGTGTGTCTCATGCGTCGGTGGGAAACTGGCGCGGCACACCTTCCCCGACCAGGGCTTCGGTGCCGCTGACGTGCTGGCCATTGTGCACATCGACCTGTGTGGGCCGTTCCATATGGCTGCCAAGGATGGCAGCCTGTACTTCTTGCTGCTGAAGGACCGCAAGACCCATGCAACGTGTGGGTGAGGCCGGTCGCCAAGAAGTCCGACGTGCTGCGGGAGTTCCAAAAGTGGTTGGTTCTGGTGGAGCGGCAGGCAAAGAATTCGGTGCTGCAACTGCGTTCTGACCGCGGAGGGGAGTTCCTCGGGAAGGACTTCACCGCCTTCGTGGACGGCAAGGGGGATTGTTCACGACCTGACCTGCCCTTACACCCCGCAGCAGAATGGCATGGCGGAGCGGGAGATGAGGACGGTGGTGGAGTCGGTGCGGACGATGCTGTTGCACATGGGCGTGCAGTGCCACTAGTGGCATCTCGCTCTGCGGCAGGTCGTCTGGGTTCGCAACTGCCTGAAGCGGTTGCCGCTGCCACCGGGGACGACGCCGTACCAGCTCTTCACCAGCCAGAAGCCCGACTTGTCGATGGCATTTCAAATATGGAACGTGAGTGGCATTTCATGGAGAAGGGCATGGAAGGGGGAGAAAGTGGGGAGGGGGAAGAGGGGGATGATTGAGGGTATATCAAATATTTGGTCATGGCTTTTTCCCCCTAATACTCAATTACTCAAACTAAACCCCGCCAAATATTATAAGGAGAAAAGAAGCCAAATGATTTCTCTAACAATCATTCCTCGTACTCTTACCATACACACGTTAGCATCATTCACCTCCACCTCCCCATCCTCTTCCAATTTGTTCCCCATTCGGGAAGGACGAGGTGGCGATGTTGCAATCCACAAACCCCCTCCTCCCCTCCCCACAGGATAGGTAGCAACTGGATCCTTGTGGTGGTTGTGTACAACCATACGGATGTGCGCAACATACATGTGGTAGCGAACGATCTCCCTCCAAAGCCTGTTCCTGCATGATGTGTGCATACTATCCCAGAAAATCCCGTTCCGCACTCATGAGGTGGCAGAAACAGGATTGGACAGCACACGACGCACAAGTTCAGCCATGCCAAGGTACTTCCGTTCATGCCACTATTACTAGTCTACATGTCCTGCTCCCCTCTTGCAGCTCCCCTCACCCTGCGTCGCCTCCTCCATCCTGAAGCTCCCTTCTTTGTTGATGTGGACGAGCATCCTTTCCAGGGCCTAGGGTCCTTTCCATCCTTTCCAGGGGAGTGGAAGGGGGGCAAGGGGAGAGGTATACGCCATGGTGGGTGGGTGCATCTGGTGCATCGATGAGTTTGACAAGATGTAGCTCAGTGCTCGGAGCATGCTGCATGAGGTGAGAGGGGAGGGGGGGGGAGTGGAAGGGGGGGAAGGGGAGAGGTATACGCCATGGTGGGTGGGTGCATCTGCTGCATCGATGAGTTTGACAAGATGTAGCTCAGTGCTCTAGCATGCTGTCCATCTCTTGTGCCATCCACAGGTGGTAGTGTGACCACCTTTCCCTCCTTTGGTTTTGTTGGTTTGCTTACTCATCCCGCATCTATTGCATCCCCCATGTATGCCTCTGCTATTAATGAAACTTCAATTCAATACTCCGCCTTGCGGAGAATCACACTACAACGGTCATGAGCTAGACTACGGGGGGGTTGGCACGAAGTACTAGGAGTGATCGTAGCTTAGCTTAGTTCCTTAGCGCTTGCACATTTACAGGAGAAATTGGCAAGAGTTTTCACTAGGCAAAGATTGCATTCGAGAATGGATAAACAAGCAATGACAGAATACATCAGGCACCTAGCAACTCTGTCGCTAGCGTGGTCGACTGCCAGCACAGCATGGTCGACCGCCTGCCAGCGTTGCGTAGAGGAGCCGCGCAAGCTCTACAGAAGGGCGACCTGCCAACACAGCAGGTCGACGGCGTGCCAACGCTGCAGCAGAGCGGCTGTCCAGCGTTGCACCCGTAGATGGCAGCAGTGCGCACGCTCGCAGGTGCGCGCAGACGATTGGCCCGACTTGCATCATTATGCATCCGTCGGCTGTTGTCTGCGCCTGACGAGCCACATCGACTTCGGGATACCAGCCCGAAGTCGCCTTCGTCACTGCGACCTTGACGATGTTCGCGTGCCTCCGCAGAACTCGCCGAGCAGGTTACCTGGTCGACCTGGACACCACCAGGTGCTCTGGTCGACCACCAGGTGCCTCTGGTCGACCACAGCTCCTATGAGAGTACGACGGCTTATGCTGGCTTTGCTAGCTTGCCTGGACTTTATTATGCATTATCTAGCTTAGCATTATTTTGCTTTGCTTGCTTTTGCTTGATTTCCTAGGTTCGTTGCTTTTACTATAGTTATTATAGTTATAGGCACCGAACCAGGTTACGTGTACCGAACTCAAGCTTATTCGGTTTCCACCGAATTGCTTTCTACCGAGTTCGGGAAGGTTCTGTTCGGGACGCTTCGCGACCCTCAGAACATTCACGTAACACCTGGGTTACCTATCTTGTGTCGAGCCTATAAAAGCCTCGCCTTGTACCCAGGTGGATCATTCAATTCAAACTCTCTTTTCTGAGCTCGATCCTAGATCCTCACACATGGTAATCAGAGCCTGTTTACACGCGAAGTTTTTCGACCGCTAAAACCTAGCTTTTAAAACCGCGGGGGCGACGACGAAAGCAACAATTACGGGTACGCAAACCAGTTCCGCGCTATTTCTTAACGTCCCCCTCGACACGGTTTTCTAACGTACCCCAGGTTCAGTGGAGAAAAAGGTTGGAATTTTAGCCGTCGGATCAATTTTTCAACTCAACGGCCAAGATCTGACGTGAACTTCAGCTGCGGGAGAATTACGCGACTAGCAGAAACGGCGCTCAACATTTTTATTGTCGATTTGATTCGCAGTAAGTTGACCAGCGCCTAGATTTCAAGTATTTCTGTCGTAATTCTTCCTGGAAATCGCCAAATGGAGGAAAATGGTGATAATTCCGTACGAAAAATTACGGAGTTACGCACCGACCTGGACCAAACGCGAGCGGCACTCCAGCGAATAGAGGAGCTTCTCGCGAACCAGTCGGCAGCCGCCACGGCAGCAGCACACGTAGCAGCGAATACAGCAGCGACGGCAGCAGCAGCAACGGCGACACCGACACTTCACACATCAGCAGCCACAGTGAATCTTGAGGCGGCACGTCCGAGGCTACCGGAGACGTTCAATCCGAATGCGAGAGACGCCGACGTCCGTCGATTCATTGCGACCCTCGAAATTTACTTCGAGGCCGTTGGCTGTACGACCCCGACACACGATGCAATGCGGATTCGGCTCGCAGCCACACTGTTGCGAGGCCCGGCGCTCGAGTGGATTTACAACAGTAAGGAGATCCGAGGCGAGGGGTCATGGACGCAGTTTCGGGCAGCTTTAATTCAACGTTTCGAACCGATCAATTCCAGCTACATGGCGCGGCAGCAGATTCATCGGCACAAACAGTACGGCAGTGTAACGCAGTATACGCAGCAGATGGAGAGCCTCTTCAACCGAATTACCGACCTGACCGAAGGGGAAAAAATCCAAGCGTATACTGAGGGGCTAAAAATGGAAGTCCGCCGACAGGTGATTGCTGCGAACTACAACAACTACCGCGACATGGTGTGTGCAGCAGAGAGATTCAATGTGCTGACGAGAGGTCAACCTGAGACACGACGCCACGTGCCAAACAGATCATTCGACACGAAGCGATCGGCACCACCCACGACCGCCGACCCGATGGATATCGACAAGATCGACGCGAAGCAGCAGCCGACAAATAAGAAGTGTGACTTTTGCGGCGCAGCGGGACATCGATTCTTGGCGTGTTGGAAAATGAAGAAGGCACGAGCACAGTTGCAGGGCAACAACAGTGTGACACCCCCGAAGTCAAACAACGTGGCGACTTCGGAGCGGGCGAAAAAAGGAGGACATGATGGCGCGAATTTAAAACGCCACGACCGGCCGGCACCAGGGGAAATCGCCGAGACAAATGGAGGCTCCGCGAAACAAGACCCTGCACCGACCGGGAAACTCCAGCCGAACACCCACGAAAGTAAGAATTCGTTAAAGTTATCCTATAAAGATACTTTAACTAAGAATATTACTTCTCGTGATTTTCAAGCCTTCAGGGGAGATTTAGCGGCTAAGAAAAAGCCCTTAAAGATTATTCAGGTACCTGAGAAGTTGGGCAAACCACTCCGGAGCGTTGAAAAGGGTCGTGCGTTCCAAGGAGTTAATACTCTCTCCCCGCAGCACAGTGTTAAGGCTCCCCATTGCCCACAGGAGAAGCCTACACAGCTGCAACGGCTTAAGGGAAGGTTCCAGGCCAAGACGAAGCTGAATCGGCCTTGGAAAATTTCTTCTAACCCTACTCAGTTTGAAACTGATATTTGTCAAGATAGGTAGTAGAAAGTTTAGAGGCAGAAAGAGGAGTTGCACTAGCAAGCAGTTGAGTACATATAGGAACCCTAGATTGGGCTGTACTCGCTATAGAGTACCCCACTGCAGGCTAGACAAATACAACATTCTGACACACCCCCATAGTCAAAGTGGGGTATAATCAGCAGAGCAAGCAGTCATAGAGCAGATTCACAAGTGCATGCAAAGCTAGAGGCATTCACAAAGGGCAAGTGAGGAGGAGGAGGCGAGACTGTAGGTGGAGAGGAGATAAGAGGCGTCGGCTGAAGCTGCAGACACACGGGCAACAGGAGTCAAACTGGCTCAGTGGCTACCGGAACAAGCGCCCCGGACTACAGGAGTAACTGGCTCCCCCGACTGTCCCACCCCCCTCTCACACACCCCCTGCTGGAACCCTAGCTCCACTCCCACGTCACCCCCCTAGCACCACTCCTTCGGCTCCCACACACCCACCCCCCTGAGCGGCAGCTGCAGCAGCGGGAGACGGAGGAGGAGGAGAAGTAGGGGATGGGGCACTCAACCTGCACCCCCACAACCGCCACCCCCACACTCCCCACCCCCAAACCCTAAAACGGGCGGAACGGGGTAGGAGCACGGGGGATGGCGAGGGGGAAGGCGCGCGGCCCCCAGGGCGCCACCATGGGGCAGCGAGGGGCCGCGCGCAGCCCCCCAGGGCGCCGCGACGGGGCAGCGGGGGGCCGCGCGCGGCTCCCCAGAGTGCCGCGACGTGGCTGCGGGGTCGCGCGCGGCTCCCCAGGGCGCCGCGACGGGGCAGCGGGGGGTCGCGCGCGGCTCCCCAGGGCGCCGCGACGTGGCTGCGGGGTCGCGCGCAGCTCCCCAGGGCGCCGCGACGGGGCAGCAGGCGTCGCGCGCGCTTCCAGGGCGCCGCGACGAGGCAGCGGGGGCGACGGGGGGGTCTGCTGCAGGCGACGGGTGGGCTGCAGCAGGCGACGGGGGGAAACCGCCGCGCGCCCCGGGGCGCACGGCGGGCAGGAAACCGCCGCGCGCTCCGTGCGCACGGCGAGCAGAAAACCGCCGTGCGCACGAGCGCGTGGCGGGAATAAAAAATCCGTCGCGCGCCAAGGGGCGCGCGACACAGAGAACAGCAGCGGAAGCATTAGGTGGTGGGCCCACCCACAGGATCGACCCAAGGGGGTCGACCTGCTCTGATAGCATGTCAAGATAGGTAGTAGAAAGTTTAGAGGCAGAAAGAGGAGTTGCACTAGCAAGCAGTTGAGTACATATAGGAACCCTAGATTGGGCTGTACTTGCTATAGAGTACCCCACTGCAGGCTAGACAAATACAACATTCTGACAATATTGAGACAGCAGCTTCGAGCGCAGGATCTGGGGATGATCTCTTCGACGTACCCTATGATCCAGTAAGCGAGACCATCTACGGCTACTCGGAGCGGCAACAACCACTACTCCTCGAGGTTCTCTGCAAAGGGTGGCGCCTCCAGGCACTGGTGGACAGCGGTGCATCTCACTCGGTGTGCGACCGCGAGACATTGGAGAAAATCGGAGAGAAGGCGTCGGAGACACAATTCTGTGCAACAATAGTTGACGGTACGAAGCTTCCCATCCACGGCGAAGCATCACTGCAGCTGCACATAGGGGCGCTAAGGTGGAAGCCGACGTTGCCGATCACCAACATCAAGGGACTAGATTTCATCTTGGGGCGAGATTTCCTGAAGCGGTTCAACCCCGAGATCGATTGGGTCAACAGCAAAGTGTGCATCTACAACAACGGGAAGCGGATAGCACTGCGAAGCTGGACGGATACAGGGGACATTCCTGAGACGACACTGGCACGGTTCGAACAGACGGTAAACGAGAGCAACACGGGTTACTTAGCACTGGTCATGGCAGCAGCAGAGGAGGAGAAGCCGAGTTCCGAGCTACCTGCAGCAGTGAAGGAGGTCTTGGAGCAGTACAAGGATATAATGCCCGACGACCTACCTGCAGGCGTACCTCCAGCACGCACCCACGAGCACGAGATCGTGGAGGAACCAGGTGCGAAACCCGTCTCACGTGCACCATACCGACTGAGTCCGACCGAATTGACAGACATGAAAAAACAGATAGAGTATCTACTGGACAGACAACTGATTCGCCCATCCACCTCTCCCTACGGAGCACCAGTTCTCTTCACTCCTAAACCAGACGGCAGTCTACGGATATGCATCGACTATCGCGCACAGAACAAACAGGCAGTTAAAAATAAATACCCCATACCGCGCATCGACGACTTACTGGACCAACTGCGTGGTGCAACGGTTTTCTCAAAGCTGGACCTACGATGGCAGATCAAGATGGCGGACAACTCGATCCACACGAGATACGGCTCCTATGAATACTTGGTGATGCCGTTCGGACTCTGCAACGCACCCGCGACGTTCCAGGCAGAGATGAACCACATCCTCCGGCCCCTGCTGGACGAATGCGTAGTAGTGTACCTGGACGATATCCTCATCTACTCCAAGAACATGAAGGAGCACGTGGAGCATCTGCGGAAGGTGTTCGAGATCCTGCGGAAAAACAAGTTCTACGTGAAGCTGTCGAAGAGCGACTTCGCCCTGAAGAAGGTGCAGTTTCTCAGGCACATGGTGAGTGCCGAGGGCGTACACGTGGACCCGCGGAAGATCGAAGCCGTTAAAAAGTGGAAAGTTTTGGAGAACGTGAAGGAGTTACAGCAGTTCCTCGGCTTCGCCAACTACTACAACAGGTTTGTGCCGCAGTACGCTAAGATAGCAGCGCCACTGACAGACCTACTGAAAAAGGATACGCCCTTCAAATGGGATACTCCTCATCTACAAGCCATGGAACAACCACAGACAGCACTGACCACAACGCCAGTACTCATCCTACCGGACCCAGAAAAGGACTACGTAGTTGAAGCGGACGCTAGTGACCACGCAGACGGAGCAGTACTGATGCAGGATCACGGGAACGGTTTACAACCTATCGCCTACCTCAATACGAAGTTACACGGAGCAGAACTGAACTACCCCATTCACGACAAGGAAGCCTTAGCTATAGTCGTAGCCTTCAAGGCGTGGAGGTGTTACCTAGAGGGAGCCAAGACCACAGTATACACTGACCACTGCAGTCTTAAGTACCTGAAGTCGCAGCCGACGCTCTCACGACGACAGGTGTGGTGGGTGGATTTCTTGGAAACTCACTTCCACTACGACATCGTCTACAAACCCGGGCTCCACAACAAAGCTGACGCGTTGAGCCGCCCCGGTCATGTAGCAGGCATCCAGCTCGACGGGATGAACCCTCTGCTCAAGGGTCTATTCCAACATGGGTACTCCGTGGACGGCGAGATCGCAACGGCAGAGAAACAGAAGCTGTTACAGTGGGAGAAAGAAATAGCGGTAAGGAAGGGTTCAGGAAAGATTTGGGTACCGAATTACGCCCCGCTACGGCAAATCCTATTAGAGGAATTTCATGACGTACCTTACGCGGGACATTTCGGGAGCAACAAGACGTTAGCGGGAATAGCGAAGTATTACTACTGGCCCCGGATGGCAGCAGACGTGCAGCAGTTCGTCACCTCATGCGACACGTGCCAGCGGATGAAGAGTAGCAAGCAGAAAAAAACTGGGTTACTTCAACCTCTACCCGTACCGGAGCAGCCATGGCAGGTCGTTAGCCTCGACTTCATCACAGGACTTCCCTCGACCTCACGGGGACACGATTCCATCCTCGTAGTAATAGATAAGTTCTCCAAAATGGGTCATTTCATACCGATCAACGTCACCGCTACAGCTGAAGCAACTACTCGCCTCTTCTTCGACCGCATCATCACCATCCACGGCATCCCCGCTACACTTATCTCAGACAGAGACCCAAAATTCACTAGTAAGTTCTGGAAGGAGCTTATGGGACTGTTGGGGACCAAACTTGCGATGTCTTCAGCATACCATCCCCAGACTGACGGACAGACGGAGCGACTCAATCAGGTGGTTGAACAGTTACTGCGTACAGCTTGCAAGGACGACATCAGCCACTGGGACACACAGTTACCGACCTTAGAGTTTGCTTACAACAACGCCTCACATGCGGCCACAGGAAAAACCTCTTTCTTCCTGTGTTACGAACGGGAACTACTCACACCACAGCAGCCAACCACACCGGCACACGTCCAAGCCGCACACGACTTCGTCACCACCATGCAGCAGCTATGGGAGAAGACTCAGCGGCGTCTCACCACGATGCAGAACTCCCAGAAGCAGTATGCCGATCGTCAGCGACGAGATCACTCAGTAGCAGTCAGAGATCAGGTGCTTCTCGACACGCGCAACTTGAACCTGTCTCACCTACCATCCAAACTCCGGCCTCGCTTCTGTGGTCCTTTTCTCGTGGAGGCACAGGTGACACCAGTTACATTCCGCTTGCGCTTACCAGATACATGGAAGCTTCACAATGCTTTCCATGTTCAGCTACTGAAACCCTACAAGGACCCCAACCACCAGTTCCAGGGACGGCAGCTACCGCCACCTCCACCGCTCCTCGTGCAGGATGAACTAGAGTACGAGATCGAGCGCGTTCTCACTCATCGGCGCCGTGGCGGCAAGACCCTAGAGTTCCTAATACGCTGGGAAGGGATACAACCCCACTGAGGACAGTTGGGTTGCAGAAGCTGATATGGGCAACGCACGCCGTGCTCTCAATGACTATCTTGTCAAGCAGGGTGTATCTCATGCCACCCAGCTTTGAGGGGGGGACGTGTGAGAGTACGACGGCTTATGCTGGCTTTGCTAGCTTGCCTGGACTTTATTATGCATTATCTAGCTTAGCATTATTTTGCTTTGCTTGCTTTTGCTTGATTTCCTAGGTTCGTTGCTTTTACTATATTTATTATAGTTATAGGCACCGAACCAGGTTACGTGTACCGAACTCAAGCTTATTCGGTTTCCACCGAATTGCTTTCTACCGAGTTCGGGAAGGTTCTGTTCGGGACGCTTCGCGACCCTCAG